AAAAAAAAATGAGAGAGATGGTTTAAGAACCATATCGTTACAATGTAATAGTTCAAGAATAATACAATCCATATCTCGTTTAACGAATTAAATACTAATAACTATATTGCTACATGAAATGATTTAGTAGATACTAAGGTACGATCGCAATATTATTACTCTTTTTTGAAACTAAACACAACGTAATTTAGTTGTCATATCCTAGTTACGATGTTCATGAGAATCTCCATATTATAAATATTCTTTGCCAAAATGAATTAGTAATAACCTAGCTAATCCTAACTTCACATTAAACAAAGTTAAGCAAAAGTAGACCATACTGGATGTACAATGATTATGGATTCAAGACCAAGGAACAATTAGTTTTAGTCTAACCGTGGACCATTATTAATTAATGAACAACATAAACCAAAGTAGTAAATATTCTTTTGCTAAAACAAACCAATACTATGAGTAAAACTATTGATCATCATTACTCCCTAAGTGATGTTGATGCATTATTGTTCGTGCAATTTAAAACAGTGAAATAGTATTAAAAAAAAATAGGTCTTACCCAATTATGTAGTATTTTTAATGTTGTAGTGATTATAAATTAATTAGCATTCTTTTAATGTTATAATGTAACAAGCATAATATCTATTTTACCTGAAAGCAGGACGTGTTAATAGATAGTAAACAAATAAAGAAAGGGGCAACATACCGTTAGTATGCCTTTAACATGCCTCATGGTCAAAGGAGTCTGGGAATCTTCTTCATCTTTCAATCTTAACAAAAACTGCAAGAAGTCCTTATTGCTCTCATTCACACCCTCTCTCTCAATCTTCACCCGTTGACTAATCACCTTCTCAAATATATGATCTAACCTCCAGCCCAGCCCATCTATTTGCCTCTTTAACCCTTGCAAGTCAAACCGGGCTAGGCCCGGAAAAAAGTCCGAAATATTGGGCTTTCCTAGAAGCTCAGTTGTCCCGGTGACCACCTCTCTAAACTCTAAACCCAAATTAGCCCTCTCTTCACCCTCCAACGTGCCACCCCACAACATATTGGTAATCACATTGAGTATTGTCAAAAATATTTGTTCACCCACCTCAACAGGGGACCCGACCCGGCCATATAATTCGCTGGCGGTTTTTCGTACCTCACGGCGGCGGAGGGAATAAAGGGAGTCTAACGTTGTATTGCTAAGCATCTTGAGCACGCATACTTTCCGCAACATGCGCCACTCCGGCCCGTACGGGCTCCAAACGATGTCCGGTCCACCATATTCGGTGTTTTGGACCAAGTCTGGCGGATTGCGGTTGGCAAAAGTGACGTCGTTTTCTTTGAGGACTTCGCGGGCCAAAGGCGGAGAGGTCACTACAATACCAAGCCTGTTTCCGAGTTTGAGCTTGAAAATTGGGCCGTAGGTTTGGGCCAGGCTTGCAAAGTAGGCTGGAACTTCTGGGTCGAGGGAGAGGAGGTTGCCCACCAAGGGGAGGCCCATTGGGCCTGGTGGTAATGCTGAGGTTTTGGGATTCTTGGGTTTGATCC